CCCACAAAGGAACAAAGTAGAAGAGTGCATGTCAGGAAATGCATTTATAAGAGCCCCTTTCTCATGTTTTGTTTCCCAGTGTGCTTTTCTTGAGAATAAATGAAAAATGGAGAACAAACATTTGTGACAGAAATGTTAGTGATTTATTAAATTTGAAACTGGAAGTTTTTCTACAGTTTTATTAGTACGTTTTTAATAAAACACTAATGGTAGCAGTTTATGTTTAAATAATAAAAATGACTGACAAAATGAAATGTGAATAATATTGAGTGGTCATTATGTGAGTCATCGGTGTAGAGCATGTATATAACTAGACTAATTGAAGAATTGCCCAAATGGTATGGTTCTTAACTTTAGGGTCATTTAACACTCTGGACTGGTTAAGGTCCATCTTTAAACTTCATGGAAGCTTTTCCTAGGTATTGCTAGAGCTCACTTCAATACACTTGCAATGCGTTAAAAATACACTGTGCTGAACTTGTTGTAATCTTATTATTTACTTTAGATGAGTGTTATTTCAACATAGTGTTATTACTGTGATAAGTGATTTTTCTTTAACAAAAATTATCATGGAGAATGGCATGAATTTCAGTGAGACCATATGCTTTTAAAGTAGACATTACCTACTACTGTGACCTGTCAGAAATAAGTTGTTGCTGGTGCCTGAGTTTGTACATGAGTAATAATGCAGTTGTGAGACTTTGGAGACTTTATCTCAGCTTCCATATCTTAAATGGAATGTGCCCCAAATGCTGAAGGCTTTTTTGCCTTTGATTCCTGAAATCCACTTCCTTAAATTGAAAAAAGTATGTATGTGTTTGTGAGAAAATTCGTATCTTTTAGAATAGATGGACAGGGAGCAGTGACTTACAAGCCATCCAAAACTTGCTGTTTATGCTGGAATTTCTCACTGAAAGCTAAAAATGCGCACTGCAATGTTCCTAAGAGCAGCAGCTTGGGCTTGATCTAAGAAATCAGTTGAGTTAATCCTTCACAGCTTTTCACTGTGGATTATAAAGTTCCAAGTCACTTGGTAAAGCAAATGCAGAAATCACATCCTGTACAAATAAGCAATACTTAGCTATATAATACTCTCTAAAATCATCCATTGCTTTTTTACATAGGTATTTTAATCTAATTTGAGTCCTTCAAACAATTACTTCTTGGCTGTGTCTACACTGGGCCACTTATTCCGGAAAAGCAGCCGCTTTTCCGGAATAAGCTGCGAGCTGTCTACACTGGCCCCTTGAATTTCCGGAAAAACAGTGACGATTTACTGTAAAAAATCAGCTGCTTTTCCGGAAAAACCATGCTGCTCCTGCTCGGGCAAAAGTCCTTTTTCCGGAAAACTGTTCCGGAAAAGGGCCAGTGTAGACAGCACATTAGTCTTTTCCGGAAAAAAGCCCCGATTGCGAAAATGACAATCGGGGCTTTTTTCCGGAAAAGCACATCTACATTGGCCACAGACGCTTTTCCGGAAAAAGGGCTTTTCCGGAAAAGCAGCCTGCCAGTGTAGATGCTCTTTTTCCGGAAATACTTATAACGGAAAACTGTTCCGTTTTAAGCATTTCCGGAAATTCATGCCAGTGTAGACACATCCCTTGAGTTTTATGAAGGAAGAGAGAAAGTTCAGGGGAACTTTAGCTACTTTTTTGAGGAGGTGGGGGAATTCCAGAATTCTTTTGAGCCTTTGAATCATCAGCAAGTTGCAGCTTCAATCTCCATGCAGCCTATCACCACCAAGACATCTGACCAGCTTTTTAAATGAATATTACATGATTTTCTCAATCTCCTTATTAGTGGATTTGCATAGGCATGCAAAATCCCTAAAATAATGACACTAGTATGAATTCAGTTTAACAAAAGCATTCTTTTTGTTATTGGAAGAGGGATTTTCTCCCTTAAAACAGCTTTTTGGAGGCAAGAATGCACAGTTGTCAACTTTTCTGAGTTAGTTCCTGAGGGAGGAAGGCAGTCCTTCCATCTGGAGAAGCTATGTCTGCTAGGGCTATATGTATAACAAGAAATCCTGTCCTTGCTAGACACTGAAAAATGACAGCTATTTGTATATGCAAACTCCTTTTGAACTTGGAACTTGGTTAAAAGGATCCAAGTTGGATGTTCCAGTTGCCATGCTACCTTCGTCTTTGGTATTTTGCACAGTCATTGTCAAGTGCTCAAATCGATGGTGCCTTCTCAACACTTCCCAAGAGCAGCTCAGTTCCTTCGAGAAGCACACAATATGTGTGTGTGTACAGTGATTTTTGCTTGCTTTGCACAGGATAGTGTTGTTAGTGCAAAATTAGGAGCGTGGGTGGAACGTACAGATCCTACACAGATGAGAAAGGTAGGGCTAAATGCCATTTAGAACTTTGGGAGAGTCCAAATGTGTCCAACTAATACTTTGTAGTTGACACATTAATTAAATATCTGTGGGGAGTAACTACTGTATAGGACACATTCTCAGCTAGTTTAAATTGTCATAGTTCCATTGAAATCAAAGTGAAGGTAGGTTATTATACAGAAAACAGGAGGACATGTTAGGTTCTTCATGGATTCTATTGGCTTTCTTTACAATTTCTATTGTCCCAGGAATAGTTATCCAAAGAGAGAAGACCCTTGTGTGGAAATTGACTGTTAAACCGTATGAGAATATATCTGAACCTGCTGAGGTAGTACAGTAGAAGGATGCTGAAGTGGGTAGAATGATATTGCTGAGTGGAGTGACAAGGTGACAGGTGAGAGAAAGCTGTGGAAAGGATAAGGAACAGAGAGGGAGCCAGGAATATAAAAGGGTTCTGCTTAGTGGATAGAAGAAAGATGGCAACACAAAGGCTACGTCTGGACTACAAGCCTCTTTTGAAAGAGAGAGTCTAGACTACCAGCAGACTTTTCAAAAAAGCAAGCTGCTTTTTCGAAAGAGTCTAGATGCTCTCTTTCGAAAAAGCAGTTTGCATTCAATAGCACTTTTTTCGAAAGAGTTCTTTCAAAATAGGCATTATTCCTCGTAAAATGAGGTTTATCGCAATTGAAAAAACGCAGCTGAAGTCTAGACTCAGGTGAGGTTTTTTCGAAAAAAGGCTACTTTTTTTCGAAAAAACCCTGTAGTCTAGACACACCCAAAGATGCTGCAGCTTGAAGGAGAGAGAAAGAGAGGAAGTGCAGCAAGCACAGCAGGAAGTCTGTTTAATTTTGCACTCCCCTATTCCTGAATGTAAGCTTATCCAATTTTTGTGTGTTGGAACACATGCTTTCATTCTGTCATGTGATGTGGGTGGTCTCTTGACTGTAGAAATGCTGGTTGCTCATAAATTGGGACAGAATGCCCCCTTTTTTTTTCTTGAACTGTGTTCAGTTTTAAATATTTGTGCTTGGCAAATGTAGGTGATGGTCAAAGCAGTGCAAAGAAGGCAGAAAATGTTTGTGATTTAGGAGAATCCTTGCATGGATTAAAATGGGCATAACTGAGTCTATACTACCAATTCCCTATTCTCCTACATAAGAAACATTCCTGACTGGACTGAGGCAAAGTAGGAGGAGCTATGGCTAAACCCTGGACAATACACAGCAAAGTGGTCCCAAGAGGACCTTTCTTACTAGTGTAATTTCAAGAAGTCCTTAAGCTTTGAGCCATCTTTCAAGAATACAGTCAAGGAGCTTCTTAGCTCCTTGTTCAGTTTTTAGCACTTGCTGTACTCAATCAAGTTTCCATTGGCTTTAGTGGTAGTTCACCTGATAAGAGACAATCGAGAGCCTAAGATGATTAACAGGAAAACAGCACAAAGAATCTAGTGGGAAAAAAAATTCCCTTGCTGAATTTTCTCTCAAATTGTTTGATTGGGTGGTAGGATTTCTCCCAGCCCCATGGCCATAGGGGCTTTCACATTAACCCCCTGGTTCCTCCAGAATTATCAGGGGCAAGAGTTATCCATGTGAGACCAGTACCCTTTATGGTCTGAATTACTTGGGGCTGTACTGACAGGACTCCCTCGGAGGGTCATGTGACGCTACTGAACCATGGATGACTGTGCAGGATTTGCTCCAGGATATTTAGAGTTCATATTTGACCCACTTTGAAGTTAATTTATTATCAGTGATTTTAATTTACAGTTTTTGCCAAAGTATTTACTTTTTTCAGTCACTGCAGTGGTAAGTGCTTAAAACAGTCTTAAATGTTCTTACATGAGAACAAGATTATTCTTGCCTACTACTTTCACATATGCATAGGGGTTTTTTTGGTTTGTTTTTGGTTTGTGGGTTTTTTATTTGTTTGTTTGTTTGTTTGTTTTTGTCATACAACCTACTGGAGGTTAACATTTGCTATGCTGTTTAATTACCTAGTCCTACAATGATGATCTGAAAAAAAAAACCAGATGTGTGGATGTCTTCCATAAAGATAGTTTCTTAGTAAGTCCACTTTCAGTCTTAAACATTTTATGTTAAATCCTTCTCCCATTGAGCATACAGTTCCTTCTGAAATCAGCTTCTCCCAGTAAATTCACTGGGAGCTGTATGTAAACATGATGTGAACAGGATGAGCAGGATTTAGCCTCTTGAAATACACCCTAGGTAAATAACCTGAGTCCGCAAGTACTGCAGGGAAGGCATCTGATCATTACAATGGTGATAAGCATTTTCACAGGTTTATCCAAAGATATTGATGCCGGTTTATCTGTTTGTGGTGATGGACAAGGACTTATGTAATAATAGTTCCTGTGGTTTTAAATTTTACATCTGTGACTGGAAGTATATTATGTTGCAGCAGTACAAATGCTGTCACCTCTTAGAATTAGATAATACACAGAGGCCAACAGTTTTTTGAGCATTGCTCAGAAGCTGAGAGACCATTCTATTTCCTGATAAGCTAACAACATAAAAAACTAAATTGCTGGAAGGGAAGCACCAAATGTAGACACCTGGTGTTACATAGTACATTTCAGATATGCTTGAAATACTGGGGCCTTTGTAAAGCACTTACAGCTGTTTAATGTTTCTTTCAGGTCATCAGATTTTGGGACATTATATACAAAGCTGAATCTGCAGCCTGGGATTACTACAGTCATAGACAATTTCTACATTTGTCCCACCAACAAAAAAAAGGTATGTGGCAAGAAAGTATTCTTCTTTCTTAGAGATCCATTTTCTAGATTTAAAAGTTTTCACAAGCAGGTTGATGACTTTCACCAATATGGAAACGAGCTACACATTTTAGAGGCGCTCTACAAGAAATGATGATCTTATGAGCTTTTAATTTTTAGAATGTCAGCATGGACATAAACTGTGGGAATGCCTAGGGATGAGAGTAATCTGTGTGGCCATTGATAAAGGAGCAGGGTTTATCCCCCAGCATCTGCAGTTCCTCTGAGTGTCACATAAATCTTGGGATATACCTGAGAAAAATGACCATCTGTACATAGGGTATGTCCTGCTCCATTAGCTTCTGGGCCATCTGACTCCATTTGGCCTCCCTAGCAGCCTGGCTCCATTGGAGTGTACTGCCTGCTTCTTCCCTTGGAGTTCACATTGAGAGGGTTCTGCTACTCTAAGGTTTGTGCAGCTGAGCAGGCTACAGACCCTCATTCCCTTATTTCACTCTATGTATGTTCTTTGGTGAGGTTCAGGGTTGGGCTGAGCTGGTACTGTGAAGATGTTTGACAATCCGTCCACTTGGGAAAAGGATGGAAATTCTCATGCTGAGCTTCAAAAAATGATCCTACATCATTGAAAGTTACTTTTTTAAAAGTTTTATTTTAAAATTCCACCGCACTGCACTGTTGCTGACCCCAAGAACATTTAGGTTACTGCATGAGGAACTGAAAGTGAAATGGACTATAAACAGAGGTGAAATTGATCAGTCAAATGTGGCTGCCAGTGATGAATGGAAAGCAGAGTGCAAAAAAGTGTTGCTATTTTAATTATGTAGAGTATTGTAAATAATAGTGCAACAGGACATCTATGAAATGAGAATTTTGTCTTGAAAAGTTCTTTTCAATCTCAGTATAAAGTAGAACTGATTTCATGCAAGGTTCATTGATTGAGAAGATAAACAAAGTTAGTTGTACTTACCTATTTGTTCTGCCTATTCAAAATCAATGATAAAATCAAAGTTTATCCAGGCATGGGTGAATAAGTGCTGTTTTTTTTTCTCCGGGAATTATGGCAGGAGTCTTCTTGACCAACTTGAAGCAGTAGATGAATTAGATAATATGTATTTAATCATCTTAAAAGCTGGTAACAATTTTCTTATTCTTCAAAATGGAACAAGCAGCAGGCACAAAATTGTTTCTAAGAAGGATGCATCTCAGATCGGGAGTTAACATATTATTTCAGGGATGATGATGATAATAACAATAATTAATAAAAAATAATAGTATTAATGCAATTTTATGGAATAAAGATCCAAGACATGGGAAACCTGTGAAAATTCTGCCCAGCTCAGCCAGTTCCTATGTTCTGCAGGACATTAAAACTGGCACAGGTTTGTGGGAATCAAGGATAATGTAAAATTTACCAATTGCAAAAAATAAAATTAAATGAACAGCTGTTGCAGGTTTACCGTTGAATTTCAAGAACAATGGACATTCCGATACATAGATAAATGGCACATTAACCCAAGCTCAGAAAAATCTGATTTATGTTCAAGGTAACTCAAAGTACTTAGCACTTAGTGCAAAGACCCCATTAGAATTCAGCACTTAAATTCATTTCATTTTGGGCCTCAGTGAATGTGCTATTTGACATTCTGTACTTTGCTCTTAAGATGTCAACCTACTTTAAACATAAAAAATTCCTTTCATTTTAGTGCCTGTTTAAGGTGTTAGAGTGAACATTTCTAGAAATAAGTCCTTCAAGATGCAGGCATAATACAAGCTGAGGAATAAAACTGCCCTGCCAATATGCTTGAGAACTGTCTGGAAGGAATCACGCTGATGCATGCAAAAGAAATTCAGTATCCATGCCACCAAACCAAAGGCAGCCATTATGATCCCTGTTATGACAAATGGCACTTGACTACCAATTCATTTCACAAAGGTCATTTGGAAAGGATGTTACATTCCTACCAGTCTGGTTAGTCCTGCATCCCCCTCCCAAGATCATGAGCCACCGAACTGATCATAGTTCAGCTGCAAAGAGCTATGGAAGAGTACACGAGCTGGATGCTTGTCCATATTGTCTGCAATTTTCCAGGCTCAAGTGGGGCAGGTGGACAGGACAAGCCACTGGCCTCACCCAGACCCACCAACGGGGGATAGGGGAGTACAAAGGAGGTACCTTGTTCTCACTGCTAGAGTGCTAGGCAGTGTCTCCAGGTGGCTAAGAGCTGGGGGGATGCATCATACTCCAGGTGGGACTGAGGGCTATTGGGGGAGGGGGCTTGATGCTCCTGCCCCTTCTATCTGAGGCCCCTTCTGGCACAGCTGTCTGCATCCCTGGCCTCATCCCTATGGAAAACCTGGCACCTGGGGAGGGACTTATTTATAATTGTTCTAAAAGCATTACATGAGAGTGTAACCGTTTTCTCCTCTGTTTCTGGAGCCATCCACAGACACAATATGCCTGGGTCTCCCCTCACACTAATTTAGTTCCACAGATTTAAATTTTAAATTTTCTATTTTTTGCTTCCCTGTAACGTCTCAATCTTGTAAGGTGCTAAGCACTTTGGCTTAAGGATGTTAAAATGCAGTTATCTGGCTAATCGTATAGTCGGTTAGTTAAGAGCCGCTCTGCAGAGCCACAGTGGGTGTAGTTCCAAGAGCCAACTCGAGCCGAGACTGAGCAGTCCTAGCTTGTACTGGCTCCAGAGCCAACCACGCTGCAGTTCTACATTTTAATGGTAGTAAGAGCCACTGGGCTCCAGCACCAGCCTCTGTTCACGGCAGCCAGAGCTGGCATTCACGAACAGGGCTTGGTTGATGGCAAGAGCCCCTGTCCATGGTGGGGCCCAGCTCCCCACTGGGACTCCTATAGACAGGGGCTGCTTTACAGCAGCGTCCCCTATCCCCCACCTGCGTGGGGGGGGGGGGGGGGGAGAAGGGAAGACAACTGGAACCCCGGAGTTGGTGGAAATGGATTTTAAGCCACCCCCCCACCTCCCCAGCACCAGTTCCTGTCTCCTTCTTGCAGAGAGCATGGGGAAGCAGGGACTGCTTGAGTCCCCACTCACCACAGGGCTCTTGTACATTTCAAAAAGCAGAAGCGCCCGCAGAAGCGCCCCGCTGTGCCTCTGCCTCTGGCTTTACTGGTTCTCTGCAGTAAAGATAGAGGCAGCAAGGAGGAAGGGAAGCAACTAGTCGAGTCGCTACTTGACTATCTGATAAGCATTTGCTTATCGGCTAGTCGACTAGTTGCTTACATCCCTACTCTGGCTCCAATCCAGCAAAGCACTTATATGTATGCTTAAATTTAAGCACAAGCAGTCCCATTGTCCCATTCAGCCTTTGGAAGACAAGAATGTATCCAAAGAAGCTTACATGCGAGATAGCGCCCATTTCAGTGTGGACGCTATCTTCCAAAAAAGCAGATAGCTTTTTCTATGCGCTTTTGTGTGAGGATGCTCTCTTTCAGAAGAATTTTTTTGGGAAGATTTCCTCCAGAAAAGCTTCTGAAAGAAGCCTGCAGTCTAGACATAGCCGTGATGATACCCTTTTTAGCTCAGGAGGAGTCTGCAGCAAATCACAGCAAGGCTATTGGTCCTACCACGCTGACATGATTGGGGGAAGCTGCAGATGAATGAGGAGGGAGTGGTCAATTAGCTTGGCATTACTTTGTTCACGTTGATGAACATATGCAAATGACAGCCTTTGAACTGACCTGTGATGTCAGATTGTCATCTTAGTTCAGCACATCAGGGCTTATCTTGATCTGTGATGGGCTGCACATATGTTCTCTTATAACCCACACATGTTCTGGGTGTGGTGCATAGTAGCACTGAGACCATTTTCTGAGCCAATAATCAGTCAGCTTCTACAGTTTTAGCCAATAGGCAGCTTGCCTTCAATTCAGGCGATAGAGGCTCATGCACTCAGTTCCAAACATCTCAGGTTCAGTTCTGCCTGCGGATGACGTGGGTTACTTGGCTTTGCACACAGACCTTGGATTTTCTTATATTTTAAATAACAGAACTAATTTAATTATTGGCCTCTCTTTTTTGCTAGTATTGCCCTAACAGAAAATCGGTGCAGACATCCTTGAATTATAAATGCACTACAGGAAAATGGAGTCTGATCTGTACTTCCTTGAGATAATAGTGTCTGACTGTGGATTGGACGTGTTATGCTTGGACCACCCAATGCCTATCTTATATAGAATCAACCTTTCAGTCAATTAAAAAGGAAACCTTTCCTGTGGAATGAGATTAGTTATAAAGTGATATGGTTAGTAATTACATGCCATTTGCATGAATTTTTTATTGCAATGTATGCTGGGATTTTTAAAGACAAATTAAGTTCACCCCTGAATAGCATTTGTAGTTTCTAGAATTAATGCCTTTGGAATTTTATGGGGAAATTCCTTACAGATTTTGCTTTCAATATACTTTACATTTACATTTAGTAAATAATTTTCACTCCCAATGTTCCAGATGTTATGGTTGTGCTAAAGTAGCACTTTTGCTGCATAAGGAATGTAAGTCTTGTTCAGATTTAGGAAAAATAGACATTCTCTGTAGCTATATTGATTTATAAATGAAAAGGGCTGAACAGCTAAGCTTCCTAGTTGCTATGCTAATCAATAACTGCACATTTTCCTAATCTAAACAGTATGTTATCAGGCAAAACTTACATGCTTGATGAATCACGCAGAACTTGGATGCAATGAGGAGGTGAGCTGATGGTACTTTAATATTAGCTGAAGTATAAAATATACACTATAGAGAATGGAAATTTCCCATGGAGATAAAAACATTGCCCTAGTAAGAGGAATGTTTTGAGACATGATTTCAACCACTTTAACATAAATGTAGGGCTGCCACATTTTGCCATTTGTCTTTCAGGACAAACTAATGGACAATGAAACTTCCATGAGACCACTTTTCTAAGTAACTTCCTTCCTTAAAGAGACCTATCAGAGTTATGTCCAAACATGTCAAGTAGAATTCTCAT